CTGCGGCTGCTGGCGCTGCTGCAGCACCGGCTTCTATAGCCAGTGGAGGCCTGTCTTGCGGCTGCTTCCACCACACAATGGGAGGAAGGAGTATCCAGGGCAAGCAGCCCCAGCAGCAGCAGCAGCAGCAAACGCTGCTGTCGCTTTTGCTGCATTTGTCCATGGCTTCTTCTGCTCCTTCGTAGCAGCTATCCATCGCCGTGTCACTGTCGATGCTGCTCACAAGTACGGCATGCTCATGTCTTCGTCCCTTTTCTTCATTAAAGTTTCCTTTTAATTTATTTTGCGATTTATTTATTAATTCGTGACAAAACAAAACTGCAAGTCCGCAGAGATCTGCGACGTTCTTCCTTCGTTCAGCTGCGGGTCCCCGGGGGGCCCCTCCTCAAGGGCTTTGGGGGCTCTCAAGAGGCATTTCTGCACTGAATTCGCATAAGCTTCTTTGGTGTTGACTTTAAAAAATTACGAGCTTTGGATTTAATGCGTGATGAGTGTTGCAGCGCCGAGGTAACTGCTGCTCCTCTCCGCGAAAGGGTGCTGTGCAGCAGCAGCTTGGTCTTTGTTTTGGTGCTGCTTGAGATGCAGCGATCCGACTTCCTTAAGCCACATAATATCCTTTTGGACTCCTATTTGCAACTTCCATGGGGCCGGAGGCTTGGGAATTTGTTTTGGTGACGGAGAGTGGTGGATCTAGCAGCTGAAACCCTTGGACTATTCCCAAACGCATCTACAGTGCACAATTGCTGCTGGAGAGGAAGCTCTTGAATTAGTATTTATGTCTATGGGGTCCCCTGCCCTGCAATTATCAAAGACAAAACCCCTTAATCGCTGAAGAACACTTCACGGGGTTCTGGGGAGTGGCGCTAGAGCTGCTGCAGCAGCGAAATTCAAAACGTGCTGCGAGGGGGAGTTAACTGCCTAAGTGAAAAGTTGTTCAATAAGTGTATTAATGGTGCAAAAAGTCCAATTCTCTGGTGTTTATGCTTACCGCCACCCTCGGGTTGTATTCTGGTTCCCGTGGAGACAATTCTTTTCGTGTCTTTCCATTTAAAACTAGACTTTTCCTTGTCTGAGTTCTCAACTTTCTCTTCGGGCTATTCCATAAGTGTTACAGCGGCCCAAGAAGGCACGTACCAGTCTTCAGCGTCCTTCGCAAAGTGCATTTCCTTGTTTGGTGGGATGCAAAAGCTGTAAGGAGTGCTTACTTGAAAATAAAATTCTGAAACCAATCTTCAGGAAGCTGCAAAGCTGCTGAATGCTCTTGCTGCCCTGCAGTGGCTTTCAACTATCCTTCTGCTGTGATCTGCCGGAAAAGTGTTGGCGTATTCTTAAACTACAGTCATTTTTTGACAAATTATCTCTAGTTTCGTCCAAACGCTGAGTACTTTGGTGCGCAAAGCTTCTTGAAGCCTCTAGCCATGCGCTTTATATCCCGCGAAGCTGAAAGGTCCAGTGAGTTTGGTGTGATGTTCCTAATTGTGGCACCATGCAGTTCAACTGCTTCGTTTTGAGTCTTTCGATTTGAATGCTTTCTTGAATTGCTAAGCTGCGCCAGCCAATGGCAAAGTCTATGAACTTGGGGTTCCGGTAAACAAAGAAACCGCTACAAATCTAAATTCAAAAGATATCTCGGCGCCTAATGACTGCGATTCAATGGATCTGCATCCACTCTTTTGCGACAAAGATACGGATCGAAGGTCCAATCTCCCCTCAGCAATCGATGATAGCCCAAAGTGTACGAACTTACAGTTCTACGCGATGTTGAACATGTGAGTGCAAGCGGGGCCAGGAATGAGCAGCCCAGTCTTTGTTTTCCCCATCTACTGCGTTTACAGTAAGGAGCTATGTACTTATTTGCCCCCTCATTTCAAAAGAAAAGTCAATTTTTCTCAGTGGCTCTCCGGCACTGTCCCCGGAAGTTTGCCGTTTCTTCAAGTTTTCTTTTGTTCAAGACCACTTACAGTTGAGGATAGCAGTAACTATGGGTTTAATTCGCCAAATTCTAGCCACTGCACCAGACTTTGAAGTCAGAGCGACAAAGAACGATGAAGAGTTCTGAGTGTGAACAGTACTGAAAATTCCCACGATTTGCTATACAAAGATGAATAGCTCAAGGGTCGAACTGGAAAGTGGCCTGCTAAGCCTCAGGGGTTGGAAACGGGCCGCGTATTGAAGTGTTTCCTGTGCTTTTCATATTAACAGGACCATTGAAAAGTTCCCCTTTACCGCAGTTCGCAGCTGGGGTTAGCTCAGACAATCAATGACGGCTTGTTGCGGGTTTTAAGTTACTCCTGTTTGATAGAAGGAAACACAGAAAACTACCAACAGCTCCGTCCAACATTCCACGCAAAATGTTCACCTCAGCGATCCACTGTTCATTAGTGTTCATCTGGCTACCTGCTGTGCCACATTTGCCTGGTTTTGCAGCCGGGTGGCCTCTTCCCAGACGCAGTCTATGTTGTTCCTTATTGTTTACCTTCCGTTTTTCTATAGGGTGGTTCACAGAGCTGCATATGAGTGCCCTTTGTGTAGATCTGATGTGGGTTCTTCGGGTGCTCCGTGACCCCTCTGGGGTACATTTACCAACGAAGTCCCCAACGGTGTATCAGCATGAAAAAATGTTCACCAATGTGGAGAATACGCCACCTGAGACTATCTCAGAACAATCCTGACGCACAGTATACCAGTTTCCAGCTGCAAGCCTAACCAGATACTTATTTCTGGCCACCTAAAAGCTTTCAACACCACACAAACCAGTACACACATCTATAAAAGGCGAGTACTAGACTTCATACAACAGATATACTTTAAGAAGGCCATAATCCAAATGTCTTTCCGCAGCAACGGAACCCTTTGCGTCCAGTGCAAGGTGTCGCCGCCAGGTATGGGGACGTGTCCAGCGAGCCTAGCCACCCGTAGAGTCCTGCCCTTCTGTATACTCTACAACAAACTCGAACTTTTAATGCTTTTGATTTATTCTATACAGCAGCCCATGGCCATTTAAGTGCTGCACTACTGTGCGAGGCCCTACAAGCCCAGCCAAGTCTGCCTTTCGGCGGGATTTACAAGCGCCGGAGGAAAATGAAACAAATCCCACGCAGTGAAATAATGGGATAAATTGCATGCGATCAGCTGCTTCATTTAGGATGTAAAGATTCCACGCAGTGGATAAACCTGAAAAGTGCAGCGCCCCCCGTACGCCTTCCCCAGTCCGCTTTCCGTTCTTGAACAACGTTGAAACAAATTCGTTCCCGTTGCTATGTACAGAAACTCATTAAATGGCACAAGTTCAAGTTTTGGAGCTGTTTTCTAGTCGGGCTGCCATTCAGTGTTCAGTGTGGCGGTACAGAAATGTGTTCCGCTCAGGGGATTGCCGCCCCTCCTGGGTCGCTGCTTTGTCCCTTCTTGGCCCCTACTGTCCGTCAAATATTTGCAATTGATTTTCCTAGTCAATATTGACAGTTTACAGCTTTATTCTCAGGGTTTACTGTTTACTCTTCGCGGCAATGACGGCAAATAAGCCACAGTGGCAGTATGTAAAGCCACAGCGATATCTAGCATGCATGCAGGGTGTCTGTCAATGTACCTTGTACCTTCGCGCGGGAACATCCACGAAGTGAGGTGAAAGAAATGATGAGCTAAACTTGTTGCCCGAGTTCAATTAAAGTGAAGTCTGGTCATTGTTGTAGTACTCAAGCTGCACGTGATAATGTCCCGAGCTGAGCCCGACGTCACAGTGCCTGCGGGCGACCCCAAAGCTGGAGCAAAGGTTTTCAAGGCCAAGTGCGCCCAATGCCACACAGTCAACAAAGGTGAGGGATTTAAATGCATATTCAAGGTAATTTGAGCGCCTCATATGTGGAAGGGCAGCTACGAAGAAGTCACAGAGGCTCCCCATATACGTTACGAATAGGCAAGAAACCTGAGAGCGTGCCTTATCACCCCACAGTAGCTTCTTTTCCCTAAATGGAAAGCAGACTTAATTTTCTTCTGATTGACTTAAGACCCGATTTCCTTGCTGCTCATAGGGCAGGGAGCGGGAGGAGGCGCGTTCTCTCGCGGTTGTGGAGCCTGCGGATTTTTTATATGAATGGCTCTCAGACTTTTGCCTCTTAGTCGCTGCTTTGGGCTTGCGCTGCTACATGATATCGCTCCACTGTTGCGCTTCTGCCTACTTGAATTACTTGTGTTTCTTAAGCTGCGCGTTTACTTCTTTTTATGCAGGCGGCGCTGCCAAGCAGGGCCCCAACTTGTACGGGTTTCTAGGCCGCGCTTCCGGAAGCGCCGATTTCCCGTACAGTGAAGCAAACAAGAACAGCGGTATTGTATGGTCAGAGAAGCACCTGTGGGAGTACTTGGTGAATCCCAAGGCATATATTCCGGGGACGAAGATGGTGTTTGCGGGCATTAAGAAAGAAACGGAAAGAGCGAACTTGATCGCCTATCTTGTAGAAGCAACCAAACCCTAGGCGAAGTGAGACGGCTGCGCTTTGTCTCAGTTTCTCACAGATCAAAACCGGAATTCCAATGGCACCGTCTCCAGGCCACACGTGACAGGAGCAGGCAAACACTGCTGATCACAAACTGATCGCTCTTTGGTTTCGTGGAAAGAAACAGAAGAGGAACAGTGATAGTCCAAAGGTGCATTTTGCTGCAAAGCCCTCGCGCGCTTTTGATAATGCATACGCGTCTCGTTCTGGGGCCAATCTTTTATTTTTTATTTAGACCAATCTGTCTTATAACGTGTACATGGGCATATTTTGTTCGAGTCTGTTGAATTAGAACACTGTAAACTTTGTCATTACTCAAAGACAGGTAGCAAAGCGTGCTGCACAGTAGGTGGGCAGGATCTGCAGAAATGTCTGCCACCCCTGTTCAGCCTTTGAAGTGGAAAGACGGGGAACAGACTCTAGCTTTTTCGCGTACTTAGTGTTGCTTAATTCTGCTGAGCGTCTCCGCCATAGGCACCACTTTTCCTAAAGAGCAGTTCAAAACAGATCCAATTTTTCTTGGCTTTGCAGAGTGCTCCAGTGGTCTGTTCGAAAGTGTACTTGTGAAAAATTGCACACTGTTGTGGACGTATGAACAGCTTTTCTTTTAGCTTATAGCATGCGACACTCCAAACAGCGAGTGCGCTTAGGCGGGAGGAAGTTGC